TCTCTCTCTCTCTCTCTCTCTCTCTCTCTCTCTCTCTCTCTCTCTCTCTCTCTCTTTTTGTGGGTCTGAGTAATGGGGAAGAATGTCCTATGGGAAGGAGACAGCAGCTGTGTGTTGGTCAGAGAGGCAGGGGTAGGAGGCTGGAAGAACTGCTGGGGTTCTTCATGCTTACACTCATACCCTTCTCCATGGTCACATGGGGGACAATAAGGCACTCACAGGTGCTGCTGTAAAATAGCCCTGGTCTGGAACCATGAACCTCTCCTGGGTCTACTCTGGTCCTCTGTGTGAGTCTCTATTCCTTTCTGAACCTCAGCTCCCCAATGTGGGTGTGTCTCTGAGCTTCTGTTCCACAGGGTTGCACACTATAGTAGCAGCAGTAATAGCATGGGCTTCCAATTATTAAGCATTTATTGAACATCAGACTGTTTATTATTTGACATGGATTATCACTCAACTGCTACAGCCTAAGGAGACATCTCTTCATCATCCCCTTTCCCAGATGGATACACTGAGGAGGATTGGAGCTCTAACGTTTGGACTTGTATGTTAGTGTCACTAATTGATTGTCTCAAGGGCTGTCTTGACCCCTATGTCAACCTTCTCAGAGACCTCTGCATGCCTGACTGTCCCCACTACAGTTTCAGGATGCTCCTTCCAGGGGGCTTTGAGCACCCTATGGGAACCTGAGCATGTACTTATGTAGAACAGAGTGTTCTCTAAAGTTCATTTAGGGGCTTCTGAAAGCCTTCCTGTTCCAGCCTCTCATGGAGCCTGTGAACTCTTTTGGCAGGAGGGTAGCTTGCCCATAGAAACCTTGGCAGGAGGGCTCAGTGGTGATGAATGGGTCTTAGAGTGATGAGTTGGGGTTCTTGGCGTACTTACCTAGCCTCAAGCGCCTTTCTGACTTGGCTGTGTCCTTCAGCAGGTCCTCCAAACACCTGTCTCCTTGTTTTGGAGGTGGCATCCTCATCCCTTGACACTGAGCCACCTTTCTGTTACTTTTCTGCTTGGACTGAGATTCTTCCATAGTGACAGAGCCCTTGGATATTGTTTCTCTGAGCAGTTTGTGCTCTTACTGCTTCAAGACTCTTTTCTGTTGTTCCAAGAAGAGGCCAGTTGCTTCTTGTCTCTGCCAGACATTTCCTTCTGGGAATGGATATTTAGTACTGATAGAGGAGACCTGGTAATAAAAGAAAACAGACAAACCTCTACAGGGTCAGATGGGCCTTGATCAGAACAATTGAAAGACACAAATCTCTCCTGGGGAGTGGGGACTGTGTGTCCAGGTGCAGGGGCTTGGGTTTCGTAGGGCAGAAGAGGGAACTCTGGGACAGGAGTGTTTAACAGTGGACACGTTCTTTAACAATTCACAGCTGAATGATGCCAGTGGATGTTCTAGCTACCGTGTTGGATTTCCTGAATGTAGGTGTGCTTAACTTTATACTGAGTTGGGGTTTCATAGCTTGTCTAAGGTTCTTTTAGGTCACTAAGATTATTTATGTCACCCCAAGGACAGATGAAAGGAATGGAGTGTGTGTTGTCTTACTGATTGGTTCCTGTGGCAGGGGGATGATGGAGGTGCAGCTCCATCCTGTGCCTAGGGGTTATGGGGTGTGTACATTGTGGGTGAAGTTCATATGCTGAAAATAGATTTTTAACTTGATCTGCTCTCCTGGATCAGTCATGTGATTGCTGCCATTTACTTCTGGAGTAACTTTTGAAAACAGATATTAGACAGGAGGCTGTGAAATGTTCAAAGAGATGGAGGATAGAGGACCCAGTAGGCCCTAGGCAGGGCAGGCATTGTCCTAATGTGGACTGAGTAATGGCAGTGATTAGATCCAGGTGGACCTTGTGTATAACCTTTAAAGAACAGGATAAAAATGACAAATGAGCATAAGGAGAAATGGTGAGATCAAGGAAGGAGGCAAGTCAGAAGGCTGTGGTTATCAGTCCTAAGGCAACTGTGTTTAAGTGTCCTGTGCTTTCGTCACTAACTTTGCTTAACTTAGCTCTCTGGGGACCTTGGCTCTCCCACACCAGCCCCTGTAAATAGCATATATGATGCTTAATTTATATATCTCATCCCTGGTCCTCCCTCTGAATATCTCATTACATAGGACAATTATTCGTGCAGATTCAGGACAGACAGGAGGGTGCAGGATAGGCTATGACAGGAGCAGGCACATGAACCAGACAGATGAATCCAGCAGTCTATCACCCATCAGAGCCTGCCTGCAGACTCTCCAAGCAGACGCTGGAGCCCAGGGCCTTGGTCCCTGATTTTCAGGATGAGGTTCTGCTATAATATTCCCTAGTGGAGTGAGGCCAGCCCTTACCTTCCCACAACTAAGTGGTTTGGTGGAATCTGGGTCCCAGTACTTACCCTACTCTTCCAGGGGGCCTACTGGAGTGTGTGTCCTTGAATAAGGCTCCTCAGCTAGGAAACTGTTCTTCAAAAGTGAAAGAGACTCTGGACCCTTATCAGGAAGGCAGGCGACAGAGAACCTGCCCAGATGGAAGTTGAACATTATTCAGGTTGTTTCCTGTTAAGTCTCTGCAGGTGCCTGGGCTGGAGGAGTCAGGCTGAGAGCTTCTTCCGGGTTTGCAGAAGCCCTGCCTGCCTCAGCACAGGACTCATGTCTGAGCTCAGTTCCCTCCTCCACTAATGTGAGACTCAAGGTTTGCCAACAGGTCCCAGGTCAGCAATAGCTCCTGGATCACCCCAGGTTTGTGGTCTGGATCTCCATGCTTCTCTCCTTCGCTGTAGCCTGCCCAGCCACAGGCTGCTCATTTCAGTAAATGCCTCTTAGGCCACAAACCCTGTGTATGTTTTGTTTTTGACTCCTGAAGTCTCCTAAACGTCACATTTGGGTTTTGATTCTCACCAACATCATATTCTTTTTCTGTAGGTGTGTGGTGTGTAGTCCATTTTCATGTTCAAGTGGACTCATGTGTGTGACCTCAGGGCCAGCTGTCTTTCTGGCTATATGGGTAAGGGTAGGGAAGGGAATCTCTCCTTTCCCCAAGCTGATGTAAGGCAGACAAGTTCAGGGCCACCTCGCATGTTCAGGGCCAGCTCACCTTTGCTCCCAATATGACTGGCAGCTGTTTCATGCTCCAAAGGCAGGTGTTGGCCCTTCTCCCAAGTGTTGGAGCAGGGCCAATTCTCCAGCTCTCATGAACCCAAAGAGAGGTTTCCTGTCTTCTCTAGAGGGTGAGGGGAGAGTTTGAGGGCAGAGGGAAGAATCTCTCCCTCATCCATGCCACTCTAGGGGAGACAGTGGCAGGGCCAACTTTTCTATACTCATACCCTTGGGTCCTGCACACCTACAACACCCACAATATTTGGGGCCTGTTCTTCCAAGTACTTCACCTGACTAGGGACAGATTCAGCTCCCCTACTCTGATGCCTCCAGGACCTGTTCTCCCATGATTCCCAAGAGAAGGGTGGGGCCAGTTCTTCACAGCCCTCAGACATTAATATATTCCTGGTCAGCAGCCCACCCAGACCAGGGATTTCTGCCTGGCTTTTGGTGGTAATTGATCCCTGCTGCTGAAGTGTGGGGCAGTGGGCTATGAGAAAGCCAGAAAGCTTGGTAGAAATCTTTGAAGCCCCGGAAACCTCGGCCTGAAAAGGGTCACAGGACGGAAGGTTGCTTCAGATTTCCCACGCCAGTGGCCCTCTTAGCTTCCGCTTCCCATAAAGAGACCCGTGACCCCTATCACGTAGGATAGCACCTCCATGCAAATAAGGCATCCTCAAACACCCAAGCCAAACCAATAGGGGCTACCTGTTCTTTCCCCGAAACTGTATATATATAATTCCAGAGCTCAAATTAAACGACTACTGCTGTGTGGTGCAAGGTCTCCTGCTGTCTGAGTGTTTTTGCGATCCCTCGCCAGTCGCGCACTTCAAAGGACAACACTCTCCTCTCCCCTTAGCGGGAAGAGCGAGCTGAACTAAAAGAGCTGAGACACTTTTCTTCCGTGGGCTCTCACGAGCGACTCCCGGAAAGAGAGAATTAAAAGAGCTGATAACACTTTCTCGCTTTTGGGGGCTGGGACAGAGGTCCCGCTCCGGTTTTTGGGTGACCAGAGGCCGCTGTGGAGCGAGCCCCGCCCCGTCGGCTGCTGAAGGCCCTGGGCCGGCTGGGCTGGCTCCTTCCACGCCCCCAACCCCGGAGGCCGCTCGCCCACCCCCGCTGGCCCGGCTTGGAGCTGACGCCAGCCGCTGCCGCAGATCCGGTATCCTGCAGCGGTTCCGTCAGCCCGCGATCCCTAGGCGCGAGCACTGCACGACACTGAAGTAGCATAGATCCTAATGTGAACCCACAGGCAGCACAGGACAGTACTTCACCATGGTTCCAGGTGGCATCACTGGCTCCTCACATCAGGCTGTCCCTCACTACCCTCGAGTCCCCAGTTCTGCCTCTCTTCATTGTGCCCACATCCTTCTGTTTCTCTTTCTCTTACATTTCTCCACCACTTACTTGCTCCTCTTAGTGGCCTGAGGGGCTTGAGTGTCTGGGTGGTCTCAGGGTTGGTTTCAGGAGTGTGTTGCCCTGCCTATGCTTCATGACTCTGGACAGGGATCATCTTGAGCATGGTCTATTCCCCCATGCTCCTTGCAGACCTGTACAGTGCAGACTGGTGGTCATCTAAGGCTAGCTCCCTGTCCCATGGTGTCAGACTGGTGGTTGTCTAGGTCTTACTCTTGACCCTGCCTGGGCTAGCTCCCCTCCTGAGCTAGCTTCCAACCCTGGGAGTCCACAGGACTGTTAGTTGTCTTGGGCTTGCTTTGTTCAGGGAGTGTTAGTCCACTAATCATTCAGATGTCCATAGGTCAGAACACTGAGCCTAGACATAGGCTCTCTCAACTCTGCCACCTACAATTGCACATGTGACATAGCAGCCATACCTGTAACACCTCTAGGGGGCATGTGTTGTGGTAATGTTTTCCTGGGACAACATGATTGATACAGAATGGCAATGCCCATTGTGGGTGGTGCCATTCCTGAGTAGGTGGTCCTTGGTTGTGTAAGAAAGCAGGCTGAGCAAGCCCTGGAGAGAAAGCCAGTGAGAAGTACTGCTCCATGGCCTTTGTGCAGTGAGTGGCCTTTGGTTCCTGCCCTGTCTCCCCAGGAAAGACAGTAAGCTGTACAGTGAAGTGAATATGTTCCTCCCCAAGCAGCCTGTGTGCAGTCCTGGTGTTTATCTCAGCAACAGAAGGCAAATGAAGACACATCCTGTGTTGCAAGAAGTTTTCAGATGAAGATTTCATCTCACAAAAAATTTTACTTATCAAGTTTTTTCTCACGTAATATATTTTAATCTTTCAGACCAACACAACTTCCAGAAACAATGAATAAAATACCATCCTTCCCGATACCCTTGGCAGCATTTATGTAGTGTATTATGACTAGCCATTCTGGTTGTTCTGAGACATTTTGGTGGTTTAAGTAAGAATGGCCTCCATAAACTCACATATTTTAATGTTTGTTCCTAATTGGTGCAGCTGTTTGGAAAGGTTTAGGAGGAGTGTTTTTGTTGCAGGTGTGCATCACTGGGGCACCTTTGAGAGTTTAAAAGACTGCACTGTTCATAATGTCTGTCTCTGCCTGTCACAGTGCTTCAGGATGTGACCTCTCAGCAACAGTCCCAGCACCATGCTTGCCTGTCTGCTGCCACACTCCTATCCATGATGATCATGGACTCCAACCATGAGCCCCAGATTACAGCCTTTTAATTTCATATGGTCCTATTTGTCAATTTGCCTCATTTCCCTGATGACTAGAGTCCTCTTCAGAAAGGCCTCCCCTGTGCTGCTCCATGAAGTGTCCCCCTTCTTCCCTCAGGCAGTTTCAGGTTCAGGTCTGTGTTAGTGTCCTTGGTGCACTTGGAGCTGAGTGCTCTGCAGGGTGAGAGGTCAGTCTTCCACATGTCCGGTATGTGCAGCACCACTTGGTAACAAGGTTTCTCTTGGAGACTGAATACTTTTCTGGCCAATGAGTGTTTGCTGCTTGTCATTTTAACTCAGACGGAGCCTTTAGTTTATCATCTAAAACATTTTCACCCAAAACATTCTCATTCGACAGAATGTTTTAAGCTAGCTATACTTGATAAGTTATTCAAGAAAACACTAAAATAATTTGAAATCGTGTTGTTATAGGATAAAAGTACTGCCAGGAAAGATGATTATTTACTATAAAACATCATGGTTTGATTTGTAATCTTACACTGTTTTGAGGTTTGGTTCCCTGTAGGTTGCTGTCTGTAAGCAGGTGAGGACAGGTGAAAGATAGAGCCTGTGATTGGGCAGGTGAGAAACAAAGCTGGCTGAGAGTTTTAGAGAGGGAACAGAGAGAGAATGATAAGAGAGAGAGAGAGAGAGAGAGAGAGAGAGAGAGAGAGAGAGAGAGA